AAATAATTGCCAGCTACCTGAAGTATCGACCACTACATGGCTGACCATGCAAAGTAAAGAAATGCACACTCAACTACATGAAGTATATGATATGCATACTAACATCCATGAACTTTATGTTGTTATGTAGCTAACATCACATGATTAATTATATTAATTATATCACAAGGCTAATTACATTAATATAAAATATAAAATATAAAATACATTTTAAGATATGGAAAATCTTCTTTTTATTTGATGTTTTTATTATCAAGAAATTTTTTATTTTTTTATTTTATAAATTTGTGTACATTATTCTATAAAAAAAAATTAAATTTATATATTTTAAATAGTTTGCTAGTTTAGCATTTATTTTCATATATACATATATATATATATATATATATAAATAATCATTTATTTATATTTAGAAAGTAAGGATAGAAAAGTATTTTGTTTTTTTAATGAAACTACATAATTGTGTATATTTGAAAATGTTCATTTAAGGAATGTATACATGAATGATGGTATCAAAAGTGAGGTAAAAGTAAAATTTCCCTATTATTTTGTGTTAGGTTAAATAAAATGTTTTGTATATAAAATAATGTTTTGGATTTTAAATAGTTAAGTCATTTATACAATTATTTTCAAAACATTTTATATCCTTATAAACATTTTCAATAAACTAAAAGGTTTTTATAATTTATTACAAAATCATTTTGTAATAAAATACTTAAAGTTTTTTTATTAAAAATGATTATAAAGACATTTTAAAGATATAAAATGTTTTGAAAGTATTTTTTTAAATGACTTAAATATTTTAATAATTATTTATATTTATATGTGTTTATAAAATTTGTAGAAAGGTCTTTTTTCATTTAGTGGAATATGTATTTGTAAAACTATCTTCTTAATGAAGGAAAACATGAATTGTGCTACAACAAATATGGTAAAAATAGAATTTCACCTAACAAATCTCATAGAAAAATAAATGATAAATTAACAAACTATTAAAAATATAAATTAAAATAAAGTTAAAAGTGTTTTCTAAAATAACATTAATTTTTAATATTGTTGTATAACACTTTTTAAAATAAAAATATTCAAATAAAAAAAATATATAGAAAGATTTTCCATATCAGGAAACGTTTTTATATTTTATATTTATTATTAATGTAATTAACCTTGTAATGTAATTAATTATTATCAGATTTGTGATGTTAGCTACATAACAACATAAAGTTCATGGATGTTATTATGCATATCATATACTTCATGTAGTTGAGTGTGCATTTCTTTACTTTGCATGGTCATCCATGTAGTGGTCGATACTTCAGGTAGCTGGCAATTATTTTTCCTAAAAAAAATATTTACTTTAAAGTAAAATACTAGAAGTTAATTAATATTTATAATTTTGGTTATATTGTTACAAATTATGCTTGATGTTTTACAGTTAAAAATTTTGTGGGTTATTCTATGAGGCGTACAAAATAATTATCAAATAAAAAATAAATTGAAACAAATATTTTAAAATTATTATTATTATAACATATTAACATAAACATTAATCAACATGAATGAATTAAAACGATTAAATATACCTAATTTCAGTTTTAAATCTTTCGAAATAAAAATAACCAGTTATAATATTTTAATTTTCATATGAACATAATTATTATAATATTGGATTTCATATCGGCTACCCATCAGCTTAAACGGTTAGTTTCAGATTTTAGCGATTTTTGTGGATTTTATCGGACTTTTAAGTAATAGACTCATTAAAATCAAAACTGAGATATATCGAATCACCGGGTTTTCGAGTTCGACCGCGGAATCAAATCAGGATTAAAAACGATGATTTGAATATAAAATATTTTAAATTGTCAAAATTCTTACAGATTAATAAAACATTTGTAACATTCTTAAGTGCGGGTTAAAATCATTGAAATTTAATAAAAAAATAAATTTATTTATTTTATAGAAAAATTATATACAGTATACATCTATAAATATAATTATATTTTCAATATTTAAAAAATGTATAGTGGATCCGGATCTAGATATCCAGACCTAAATTTCACTATCCGGATCTGTAAAATCACTATATGTTCCAGATCCCCGGATATTCGTTTATTCGGAGCGGATCGGAACGTACCCAAACCGGATAACGGATAGCGGATATTAAATCTCAGGTCTAATAAGAAGTAACTAAATTCTCAACTAACGCAAACAATTAAGGTTAATTTTAATTTTGTATTTCAAACAAACATACATAATTAGTGTTTTTACTGCACGGTTATATCTACCTAATACACTGCTGAACACTATTAATACAAAAAACAGTTTTGATATTTTTTAATATAAAATAGAATTGAACAAACTAAAAACTAGATAAAACTAAATTATATAAACATATCCAAAAAATAAAACCTAACAAGTGCGCGGGTCATAATCTAATAACTTTTAAAGGGAAAACAAAATAAATAGAACCAAAACGCGGTTGATGCTTTTTGAACTTTCACCTGTAACATAACATCTTTACCGATAAAAAAACTATACTACTAAAGATTATTACAATAAAAAAACCGATATCCCTTATGTATTAAAATAAGAGCATTTAAAAAAATAAACCTTGCCTTCATGTGTGATTTACAAGAGTGCCATTTACACGTGGCAGCTCCACAATCACTCTCACCCATTTTAATTAAAAGCCATTAGTTTACTAGATTAATTACTACTTTTGCCATTGGTCAAACATTACATATATTTTATGTACACTATTGTAGTGACGCGCGAATATATTTTGATGAATATTGACTTCCTTATCTATAGGGAAATACCTCACCATTAAGCCATATTTTGATATATTGATTGGATAATATGATATACACATATCATATTGTTAACCATAGTTCTACTATTGACTTTCATTATTTGAAATACGTATTTACGAAAATAATAAAAACAAAATTTAATATACTATTAATTTTCACCTAGACTAATTCCAATATTCAATCTTTGTCTAAACTTATTATATAATGTTTAGAAACGAAAATGTGTTTTCTATGATATTTAAATCAGACATATAGTTTTTTACTTAATATTGAAAAAACCACATCTGTTAAGAAGATTTTATTCAAATTAATATGTTTTGCTCAGAAGATTTTATTTAAACCATATCTTTAGAAGCGAAAATAAGTTGCATACTACCATATGTAATTATAGCATTTATTCCCGCGCCCTGAACTTTCCAAAAATTGATCATATAATGTCAATTAGCATTACTTGCGTGCAGAGGAATGATCTTCTGAATATTCAAAATTAGGAATGTTTTTAGCTAAATATGACACTAATTCATGTTTTAAACGTACTAGTTAATTCCCCCTCCGTTTCAGAATATATGTCATTCTAGGCTTATTTTTTTGTGACAAATTAAGTGTCGTTTTAAAGTTTCGAGGCAAAATTTACTAGTTTTATATAATATTCTATTTTTTATTGGTTGAAAAGTGGTAAGTTGTATAGGTAATTGTGTTTTTATCTTGGAAATATGTAAAATTAAATATTTACGTAATCTGTGTGCAAAAACCTAGAATGACAAATAAAGTGAAACGGAGGGAGTATAATTTGATATTGGTAATAGAAAATTACAATCAAATTAGGAATGTTGTGAGCTAAATACGACCTTAATTCCTGTTTAAAAACTACTCATTAGTATTATATGATTTGTTAATGGAAAATTACAGTCAAAACAGAATCATACGTGTTTTTATAATACATTGATTGAGTTTAATTTATTTGCGTTGGCCAATATATATAATTGTTTCTTATAATAGTCCATTGAATCCGCCGTGAATTTACAAACATGATTATGGCAAGTTCTGGACAATCAATATCAATTTCGATAAGTAAAAAAGATGACGAGTGCCTATCACTATTTACCCTAGCGCCACGTCTTTTTGTATATATATACAAGACCTTCTATCTAAATAGTACATCCTTACGACAAAACATTTTTGCAAGCACAACACTTGGCGGCCTTAAACTATGATGCCGACTTGGAACATTTCAAGACTATGTGGAGAGTTAGGATTAGAATTACTTGATTGTGAAAACAATACTTTGTTTCTTTTATATTTTATTAGTTTATTTTTAATTTATTGATTTTTCTTATAATATATATATTTTTTACAACACTCATCATGGCGGACTTTAATCAATTTTTAATTTATTTTGTTTGCTTATATTTTCTTTCTTTCATATTTTATTAGTCTATATTGCTTATCTTATTTTCTATCTTATATTTATAATTTATGTATGAACAAAAAATTCTATTACCAATGTTTCGTTTATCTTTACTTTATAATTTATTTTATATAACTTTTTGCTTACTCTTAAAGATTCACTTCCACAAAATATTATTTAAGTTAACAAAAAAAGTACACAAGTTTTTTTAAAAATCAAAGCTTAATTATATACACAATTCTGTGGAATCCTTTATCATATAAAATGTTATATTTATTTCTATGACTTTTAACTTTCTATAATACCTTTATATTTAAAGTGATAAATTATTTAGATTTCCTCATTCCACGCAGGGCACGGGTTATCATCTAGTTTTATATATTCTTTACGAGGCCAGAAGCACAAGCTTCCCTTGCTAGAGCCACTACTTGGTGCACCTAAAAAGGTCAAAAACTGAATTAGTGCGATTAGTGCTGGAAGAAACTTTAAGGAAGGAGTTGAGTTATTACTCCATGAATATCATCATCACAGTAATGACAACAAATAGTAGAACTGACCATATATCGTTTCTAGGTACCTTTTTTACCAAGTAAAAAAAATAAACACTATTTGATCAAAAAAAAAGAAAGTAAACACTACAGCTACTAAATGGTAGAATCCACCAAAAAGTAAATCACAAAATTAATCGTGAGACTTACAAACTTAGCCACTAACATATATTCCATCTATTTCATTTTATTTATTGTTTTAGATTTGTGCACATCGATTAAGAAAACAATTATTTTTTTTGTATTTTTAAAATAAAACATCATTATTTATATACCTAACCACTTTTGAATCAATAGAAAAATAGAATGATATATAAAATCAATAAATTTTTTTATTGAAAATATAAAATGACAATTATTTTGAAACATAAATTTTACTCTACAATGACAATTAAATAAAAAAGGAGGTAGTATAAACGACCGAAATAAAAAAGAAGACAAAGGGATGATCTGCCACAAAATCTATCCGCTTAGGAGGCTTCATTGGCATCGCACATCCACAAGCGATTGTAAAAGTTGTAGCAGCAGCTTCAGCGCCTTCATTAATCTCCACACATGCTTTATGAAACAAATCCACTGAACGTAACCCCAAGTCGTTGCTGTTTAAGCCATAAGCAATCTTAAACTTTGGGATTCTGAATTCACTAACTAAAACTTTACTTCTTGGAACGTGATTGTCCATGAATCCAGAAGTAGATGCCATTGCCTTGACAAGATCATCCAATCCATCCTTGTTTTCCGGGAGATAAAAGTACATTGAGAAACTTTCATTGGTAGCATCACCTACAAAGCCCTGTCGATAAGGAAATTTGTAGGTAGCATCAATACCTTGTAGATAAGTGATGCAGCAGCATCATGCTTGCACGACAAGAAAGGAAATAATACGATGAAGCTTTAGGTTTTTAATAGTTTTCCTTTCTATTAAATTGATATTTTCCTTTTATTTTTAGATTATAAGAAAACCCTAGATAGAAGTCTTATATATAGTTTTTCTATTCTTTCACTGAAAGACAGCTTTTGATATTTTAATAAACTGAGAGATTTCTCTTATACCTTGTTCTTGATTCGATTCAATTCATCAAAACAGGAAGCCGGTCTCAAGCGTGGTCCTTTGAACCCTTTGATTGAGCAAAGCAGGTCTCTAGCGTGGTTCTTTGAATCCCTAGATTGAGCTGATTATCTAGTTCGTATGCTGCGCCAGGTTGGTATCAGAGCCGAGCGACGATTTCTAACGATGGGCAAAGCTACAAAAAAATCCCTACCTACCAAGGCCGAGTTATTTGTGTGTCTTAGAGAAGATATACAACAGCTTAGCAAGGCGGTGCAGGATTTTGTTAGACAAGTTAATTCTAATCACATAGATGTTTTTGACAACCCTAGTGATAGAAGAATATGACTTGGATTTGTCGGTTGAATATTCTGACGAGGAAGAAGACGCAGAATTTTTTTCTGAGCTGGTTGGTGATCCAGTATTTGACGTGTATGACGAACACAATACTTTATGTGATTACCCAATACTTGCGAACGACATAGAAACCAAAGAATATTCTTTCATTGATCAGTTTGGGGATGGCGTATTTGATGCAAAAAAACTACCAGTTTTTGACGTGGTTGATGAAGACGAGGCAGAACTTGTCCCAATCTATGACGTGTTCGATGAAGACGAGATAGAAGAAGAAGTCACGTATAACAATAGGAAAGATGAAAGCATATATTTTAATTCCTTGGTCTATGCTCAAGAAACTCCAAAATTTTCCAATGAAGATTTGGTGAAAAGGAATGGTGTGATATGTGACTTTAATCTTAAGGATAAATCTCCTTCCTTAGAGACGATGATTGAAACAGTTGACCCAAGTGATAATTTTTTTTCGAAGAGAAGTAGGTCCAACAACAGAGCAGAGCACATAGATGGTCCTAAACAAGAACTTATTCATATATGCGATGAGAGAGTTAGCAATACCTTCTTGGATTTACAGCAGAAACCTATGAGTTATGGTGCATGGAGAAAGAATTTTAACCGACACATCAATCGCGAGCCACCGGATCGTGTTCCATATCAAGGTCGTGAGGCTGAACAAGAGGATACAAAAATGTTGACTGCAAAGATCACTAAACTTGAAGAAGCTCTTCTCTTAGAGCAGGAGAAAAACTGGACTTTGGAGCATGAATTGAGTGAAACACGCAGGAATATACAAATGTTAAATAGAGGCTCCACAACGTTAGACAAAATTCTAGGTATGGGTAGAACAGAGAAGACAACGGCTGGTCTCGGTTATCAAGGAGGTCCATCACGTTCACACACTGTCTTTGTTCGAAGTAATTCTGTGGGAACCAACAAACCTGATGCTGTTTTCGAATCTGCTAAGAACCCAGCTATGAAGCTTCCCACTGTCTCAAACGTGTATACTCTATATTGTGAGGTACGTTTCTCGCAACATCAAGGCTGTGTGCGTCAACTATGGAGTACGGGTATCATGTCTGCTATTCTTAGAACCCAGAGATGCTTGATTGGTGAAGAAATTGTCAGCATCTTGCAACAATGTTTGTCCTCTTCTAAAACAGGACAAAAGGTTGTCACTATTAGCACAAATATGAATTCGGGTGTTGTCACATCTACAGAACAGAGCAATGGTCAGTACTGGAACCTACATCGAGCTCACATGAGACTTTAAAAAAAAAGAGGAAGTGGAGGTTTGCAATGACGAGAAAATGGGGAAAGATGTTTATCCCACATCTGATGATGATAGTAGTGAGCAAACCAAGATCTCTCTTGGGTTAGGGATCCCGCATCATCATTCTTTAGAAAGCACACTCATCCTTAACAAGGTGTTCTTAGCATCAATCCTTGTCGAAGTTTATAAGAACGAACTCTATGTGGTGACAATTTTCAGCGGACGATCATTACAAGCCGGTGAAAGTCATAGTTACATGGATGGATTGTTCGAGGGAAACGCAACTTTTATAGCTTGTTGGAAGTACATGCTAATGGTCAAGTGGAACATCAAGGAGAGTAGTGATGGTTTCTCAATGAATCTTATCAAAGAGAATCATGGGGAATTCCTAACTGTTATATCTGATGTTTCTTTTCTGCGACGGTTAGTGTCCCCACTTGGCTCTTTTCTAGTTTATGTATTCAATGAAAGAGAGGACTCTATGATTATGGCCCTTAATATCTCTTATGGCGTTGATGAGAATATTGCGATTTCCTTCCAATATCACAGTAGTTTTTTTCACGGAGGTTTCACATAGTCTCGAAGTTATATGGGTCATGAGGATTTCAGGTTTCTTAAGAATGCACTTACTGACGCTATGGATCAGAATAAAGAATTTGGAGACAGTTGTTTATTGGAAGGTGCTGCATTGTGGAGTGTATAAGTTGAGAATATGGGATGTTCATAATCCACAAATGAATTCGAATGATAAATCCACGACAGCAACATGGAAGAGTTACGTTACTTGCGCGTCAAGTAAGTACTTGCGGGAGGCCTATAGTTGTGTGTTCTGTGTTCGTGGTGTCACTTTTTTTCTGCCATTGCCATCATGGATTGGTTTCTCTCTTCTAATATGGGTAATGAGTAAAGAAGTATTTCCTTTTCAAGATCCATGGAATAAGATGTTCAAGCTTTTGGCAAGTTACGATCAGTTTCATGTTAAGCTTCATGCACATGTTCAACCAACACATATTGTTGTGCGTTCTCTTTTGAGGATAGTTCTGAGTGATCAAAATTCCAGCTATGAATATAATTTTTGTGGAGATGTTCTCAAGCATGTCTTGAATTCATCGCTTGGTGTTGTGTGGGGTGATGCTTTTAAAGCACTGGGCAGTGTTGTCTTCTATTTCATGGGAGCTTGAGTCATCTTACGGCGAGTACATTGGTCAACATGAACTCAGTTTTGTGTTCCATTTGAATGTTATAAAGGGTCTAGTAATGTGTTTCATAGAACCACCTGCTGGCATCTGTTCATCTCTTGTTGTTGGTGATCGGTGTTCTGTGCATCCTGGTCAAAAATGTGAGCTTCATGCGATTGCAGTTCAAGACAGTCTTTCTAAGGACAATATAAAGAAGGCGTCTCTGAATTTGTGGCCACTCGGAGTAGACAAGATAATGTGGTATATGCAAAATATGTGTCCGTCATTGCCATTGGTACTTTTTCAAGTCATCTCATTACAAATCAGATGTGGAGTTTTCAAGTTAGGAACAAGATCTATTTGCCGTCTACCAATGGGTTCCAATTGCAGATCCACTATATTAATTTGTTGGGGTAATGTTTCTTGCGCTTCAGGCAAGCTCTTGAGCTTCGTTTTGGTTAGTGACATAAAACTTTTTCATGGATATACATCTCTGCATTCAAGGAGAAGAGGCATGAAAGAGTTTTTGGAGCATCGCAACCATCCCATGTGTTATGGTAAACATGCTACGGATCTTTATCAGACTGATGTTTTCATTTACATGTTAGTGTGCACGTTTCTGGGGGTTGAGTTATGTGCATATAAAGTATTAGACAATGTGGGAATTAAACGTGCCATTCAGTCTCTACGGCATGTGGTGAAGAATATTCTCTTCAACGTCGACAAACTCAATTGGTTGGAAACGGGTGAGTATACGTGTAATCAGGGAAAGCACACTATGTATTGGATGATTAAACAGAAGAATGAGATCAACAAAAATTCAAAAGGAGGGGAAAACATTACAAAAGATATGTTTTTCTTGAAGGTTTGGGAGCAGCAATTTCCATCACGATTCGAGGTCGAATCTTTCGAACCCGGAGGGACCTGATGCAGCAGCATCATGCTTGCACGACAAGAAAGGAAATAATACGATGAAGCTTTAGGTTTTTAATAGTTTTCCTTTCTATTAAATTGATATTTTCCTTTTATTTTAGATTATAAGAAAACCCTAGATAGAAGTCTTATATATAGTTTTTGTATTCTTTCACTGAAAGACAGCTTTTGATATTTTAATAAACTGAGAGATTTCTCTTATACATTGTTCTTGATTCGATTCAATTCATCAAAACAGGAAGCCGGTCTCAAGCGTGGTCCTTTGAACCCCTTGATTGAGCGAAGCAGGTCTCTAGCGTGGTTCTTTGAATCCCTAGATTGAGCTGATTATCTAGTTCGTATGCTGCGCCAATAAGGAAAGCTACGATTGTTATCAACACCACCTTGTTGATAAGGAAAACTGCGATTGTAATCAACACCGCGTTGTTGATAAGGAAAACTGCGATTGTAATCAACACCTTCTTGCTGATAAGGAAAGCTGCGATTGTTATCAACACCGCCTTGTCCATAAGAAAAGCTGTTATTGGTATCAACACCACCTTGTTGATAAGGAAAGCTGCGATTGTAATTAACACCACATTGTTCATAAGGAAAGCTGTCAACATCGCGTTGTTGATAAGGAAAGCTGCGATTGTAATCAACACCTCCTTGTCGATAAGGATAGCTGCGATTGTTATCAACACCGCCTTTTTGATAAGGAAAGGTTCGATTGTTATCAACACCACCTTGCTGATAAGGAAAGGTGCGATTGTTATCAACACCGCCTTGTTGATAAGGAAAGGTGCGACTGTAATCAACACTGCCTTGTTGATAAGAGAAGCTGCGATTGTTATCAATAACTCCTTGTAGATAATGAATGCTGCGATTGTTATCTTGTAGATACGGTATCCTGAGGACCTTGAAACCATCATAAGCATTTATGTATTGGGACTTGTAGCTGCTCATGAATGGCACGGACACTGAGGTTCCACTGAGAAGGTGAAACTCTCTGGCCATCGTGTAAGACTTGTCGAATGGATCTTCCCAAGCTCCTTTGAAGTACAGTGCGTTTCCATAAACAGAGTTGGTTAGACTCGAGATGGATCCAGGAGAAAGAAGATCTTTGATGAGACCATTGGTATGATCTTCAGCCCATTTATTCAACTCTTGGCGCACTTGTTCAGCCTATTGTATCAAAAATTATGTCATAATATTAAATTATAAAGAAATTAGAGAGAAACAGAACATAAAAACAAAGTTTACTTAAAGAAACAGAGCATATAAACAGAGTTAAATCAAGAAACGGAGTATTAAAAAGCTTACCTGTGATCGGAAGTCTACACGATCGAAAACAGCTTTGAAGACATTCTCAAAGAGATCCTTGAACGATGGATCAATGGGTAGCATTTTCTCGATCCATACGCCATTGACCGATGAGATCTTTGGTCCACCATCCGCGCTATGGTCAGCGAAGACGACAGAGACGATCTTGCTGAAGACCGCGTTGATTTCATCGGTTGAAGAAGACCTCAGGAAGGAGAGTATCTCATCGGAGACTGCAGAACCGTTGGGACCAGAAGCCGCCAATGTGAGCGAGGAGTTTATAGACGCCGGAGAGAAAACAGTGTTAGAGTGTTTGGCTTTGGTAGAGAAGAGATTCTTCAAAACGATCAGCGCTAAGTCGTTTTGGTTCTTAATGGCTTTTTCTACGTTAATGGCTGACTTGGACAGGAAGTTAGAAGGATTCATTGTGATCAAGCTACGATTCTCTTTATGATTAAGAAAACTTTGTGGGGGTTAAACAATATTTATATTTCTAGATAAATCCTCTTTAGGTTTATAATTGGATTAGTAGAAGTAGGTTGTCTAATATTTTCTTTTTTCCTTTATTCGATTATCCTTTTTGTTTTATTTTTTTTTTCACTTTGCGAACTAAATTTACTTATTTTTCATAGATTTAACTTCTTTTCTTTTTTCCAACTCATAGATTTATCAACTTATATAATAAAATATTCTTTTTTACCCTTCTCTTTGTGTTGCATCATTAGGTAGATAGGAACATTTTGCTACAACAAGATTACAAAACACTTTGCCAACTAATAGATTTATCATTTACTATAAATTCTTTTTCTTTTTACCTTTACACAAACTTTCCATATTGAATAAAAATAGTATTTACCCCTATACTATGAATTTTTTTTTGTTCTTAAGTGGGGGTTATTGGTTCTAGGATTTTATAGATTTAGAAATCCTTTTTGGATTTTGAAATTTTTGACAAATCCACACATTTTAGAATCAAATACGTAGATTTCAGAATCAATGAAATAGATTTCAAAATCAATATAATTGAATTATTAGAAATCAAGGAAATAGATTTGTGATAAACGCAGCTTTGTAACAAAAGAAAATATATATAAAACTACAACATACGGTTTCATTTTCTATATCTTATGTTATTATGATAACATAAAATCTCTCTCATACTTGTTATTATTGCCGTTCTCACTTGATTGGCATATTCTGTTTGTTGATTTCCAGTTCCAGTAACTTCCTCAAGATCTTCTTCTTCATCAAAACTTTTTTATTCAGAAAAGTTATCGATTCGTCAGATTTTTTAAAAAAGACTACACGTAAACTAACACACAGATATTCTCTCCGTTTGTGTCTTATAAGCAAAAGGGGATGCACATTAAAAATTAAAAATCGAGATTTGAATATATCAAAAATTCTTAACATTTCTCAGAAAAACATGATGATGGTAAACAACTCTTTGTCATTTATGGATTAGAATCTCCAAAAAACATTTGTAGACCAAAACTCTTATGAGAGATCTTTGGTAAATTTTTATATTAACGTCTAGGTGTACGTAAAGCTAAGTTAGAGATGATTGGTTAATATATTAGTATTTGCTTATTATTAGAGAAACATGGATAATATGTAGGTAAAACTTGGGGCAAGGAAACAATTATTAAGAAAATCAATAATACACTATCAAAATAACAAGGTTCAACTCAATATTTGCTTCTTTGTATTTTTAACTCACAAATCCACTCAAATCTATTTTAAAATCAAATCTCCAAGCAAATCATTATTATTGAATAACGCCTGATTTTAAAATCTATTTTAAAATCATATAACCAATAACAATGAATTTGAATATAGATTTTAAAATCATAGAACCAATAACAATGAATTTGAATAGAGATTTTAAAATCATAGAACCAATAACATTATATTTGATTTGTATTTTCAAATCCACTAAAATATACAAACCAATAACACCCTCTTAATTTATTATAGTATTTCCTTTTCACTTTTTAAATATTTTTTAAAATAGTTTGGTAATACTTTTTGGAATGAAACTAGATTTTTATATATATCAAAATTTATTTAAAACACACTTTATCGTAATATACATACATTTATATATTTCATACACTATATACTCTAAATTTGTATATTTATACATTTTGGAGGTGTTATTGGTTTATATATTATGATTGATTTAGAAACTCATATAGTATTTATAAATCTAAGTAAAATATACATACTTTTAAATCTAATTTACTACTTTTACTTAATATTTACAAATTGAAGTTAGGAGTTTTCAAGGTTCGTAAGACAAATGTTGTAGTATAAATGATTGTCAAACAAATTTTAAGGGATTTCAAAGTACTGAGAATGTAAGTACTCACTTAATCTAAGTGCGATCGAGTAATCAGATGGTTTTAAACTATGACTAATACTAGAATGCAATAACAGAATAAGAAAAGCAATAATTAAAATAACTTCTTTTGATTAAGAGTAGGGAGAACTTATGGAAGTAGGGATTAGATCTTGGATAATCAAACTTTGAACTATGGATGGCAAATGATCAATTAAACTATCAACCTTAAGCCTAGACACATATCTAAGCAAGCTCTATATCTAAATGAATGCTCATTTACTAACATAACTCAAACATCAAATGTCTTCGGTTGAATGTTATAGAAGTAATCTTTAAGAACAATTCTACCAACCATCTTAACACTTTTCACAACAAATGTCTTTGATAAAGTATGTTAAAAGCTTAGGAGAGTTGACTCATGCATTTCATCGAACACCTTGTGAGGTGGGAAATGCCTAAAGCTCAACCTTTGAGACGCCAACTCAAAAGATGCATTACGAATACTCTACTAGCAAGAAATAAGAGAAATTTACAGTTAACATCCTAGTTCTAGCCTAATCACCCTTAATCTCCATATCCCATGAATTCAAAGGTGGATTACTCACTAATCTTCATGATTCCTCTTAAACCTATATTGGATTCAAGCTTAATCATGTAAGATGAGTAGAATATGAAATGAAACAAAACAAGATCACAAGAACAAGAAGAATGATTCAAAGAAATAAACTTTCTAAGAGATTTTTGTATGTTTCTCTTCCAAATGAAAGATAGATCTGCCTGGTAGGCTTACAGAAGTACTTAACTAAGGTTTAGAAAACATAATAACATAAAACAAATGACCAAAAGGTCTATGAAATAACTTAAGTTTCGTCTAAACAAAGACACGGAGCGACCTGGCCACGTCGCTCCGGGAAGTCGCTCTGGAGCTGGAGAGACCTTGGTGCGTCACTCTGGGACATCGCTCCAAGGGCTATTTCGGCTTCCAAAATCAATAATAAGGCGAGCGGCCTAGGCACGTCGCTCTGAATTGGGAGCGACCTTGGTAGGTCGCTCTGGTAGGTCGTTGTGGCTGGACGTCGCTCTAGGACTGGAGCGACCATAAGGATCCGCTCTGGCACGTCGCTCCCAACTCTGCTCGTCCAATGATCACTTCTAACTCCTCTTTTGAGCCTCAAATGCATCCAATCACCTCCAAGGATACTTCAATACCTGATAAGAACTCATGTATGCAATATGCAACCTAGAAATGACTATATCCTAGTCTATATGATCAAAATGCATATGGATGAATGGATAAAAAAATGAAAATATGCAAGACATCAACTCCCCAAACTTGTTCTTTACTTGTCCTCAAGTGAACTTTCTAGAACTTATAGGAAGAGAGGTTTGAAGGTGGGAGCTCATAACCAAAAGAAACACAGCTAAGAACTCAACTTAACATCCTAAAGAGACTAGCAAATAGCATGAGCACACTCTCTTATTATACTCTAGCTTCTCTAGGCCTATCAACACACTCTTATGCCTTTAAGCAAGGTGCAAAACTCTTCAATTAACAAGCTCTTTTAACCAGCTTTCACATTAGTTCACACACACACACACAAGGTGAATTCTCACAAATGGGCACATGATCTCAATCATTTGGCTAGGCAAGCGAATGGTCTAATGAGAATGAAAATGAGGGCTCAAATGCATAAATTTTTTTAGTGGCTATCACTCAAGAACAAGGAGCTTGATCATTATGCAAAATTTATCTAAGACTAAAGGCAACTCATGCATACATAGCCTTATTCTCATCATTCTACCATTTTTCTAAGTGATCACAAGTTCTAACCCTTTTTCTTCATCCCATGATCCCAAATAAACTTTACTCACATCACTCGCCCAAAGAACAAATTTCTTGCTCTTTTTTTTACACAACCAACTGGGGACTCTTCACACACTTTCTACTTCTTAGCTCTAACTTTTCTTCTTTTTCTCTTTTTTTTTAGGGTAAGTTTTTCTTTAGATACAATCTAGAGATTCTTTTCATTTGTTTTGGTCCTTGGTGGTTTCCTTTCTTTTCTCAAGGTACACTTTAGCTCAACTTTCTCATAATCTCTCATCCAAAACCCAAGATGTTAACTGTTAGAACACATAAACCCACTCACCATCCTAGATGCTAGCTCAAAAGAAGTTCCTATGCTAGCAAGAGATGAGAAAAATCCTATGTCGCCTCCAATTCTCTCAAGATTTTGTACATGACAAGCTATCAAAAGAGGCCTCACTCATGCAAATCAAATGTTTGGTATGACAAGCTATCAAAAGAGGCCTCACTCATGCAAATCAAATGTTTGGTCTCAAAAGAATGGCTTGGGTTCAAGGGTGTGGAGTACCGTTTGGGTTAACAAAAGAGTGGTAAAATGAAATAAGATAACCCAAATGTGTATGAGATCCATGATCAAATATGCAAGTGCCCATATGTAAGAAAGATTAAGTTCATTAAGCAAAATTTCAGACTGGAGCTGGTTTCAAGAACAATTTCAATTTCAAGCAAGCAAACATGTTTCAAGAAGAGTTTTCAAGGCTCAAAGCGTGCAAGGTTTTCAAGAGATGCTCAAGCTACTTGATATGTCTAACTAGGGTGTCACTTTGAACTCTTGACAAGTGTTCTTTACAAGGTGTTTTAAAATCATTGCTCCCAATGCAAGTGAATGCGAGCTATATGCTCTAAACTCTCCTAGAAATGCAAGTGATGCAACCTACATGATTTTCTTTTTGTTTTCAAATTTTTCAAATTTTTTTTGGGTTTTCTATGCAAATTTTTATGTACAATGCAATGCCTGAGACTCAAAATCATCAAAGAAAACATGGTTAAATACTTGGTACCTCTCCCAAACTTAAGTTACCTCCATTTAAGTTAAATACTTGGTTTTTCCATTCAAGTTACCTCCGGTGAGGAGTCCTCATGCTTCGTTTCTCTTCTTCCGCCGATTCCTCCAACTACAGCTGTATCCAGGTATCCTTAATAAGTTAAAAATAATATTGAAGTTAAATAAATTTATATAATTAATTAATAGATTAATTTATAAAATTTAAATAAATTTATATAATTAGTTAATATTATAAATTAATTTGATAAAGGTTTAATAATTTTATATAATTAATTAATATCAAAGATTAGTTTATAAAAGTAAAATAAATTTATATAATTAGTTAATATTATAAATTAATTTATAAAGGTTTAATAATTTTATATAATTAATTCATATTATATATTAATTTATAAAAGTCAAATAAATTTATATAATTAGTTAATATTATAAATCAATTCTTAAAGGTTTAATAATTTTACATAATTAATTAATATTATAGATTAATTTATAAAAGTTTAACAAATTTAGATAATTAGTTAATATTATAAATTAATTTATAAAGGTTTACTAATTTTATATAATTAATTATTATTATAGATTAACTTATAAAACTTTAATATTTTTGGATAATTAATTAATATTACAATTTGTTTAACAAAAAAAATTAATATTATAATTTAATTTATAAGGGTTTGATAAATTTATATAATTAATTAATATTTTATTAATATTATAGAGTAGTTTAGAAAAATTTAATAAATGTATATAATTAATTAACATTATAGAGTAGTTACTTGGTTATTTGTTGTTTGTCTGTATAAACTAGATTGATATGTTTCTGCTAAATTTTTTAAATTTATTTGTATATGATTGTTTGAATTGAGTGTTACATGAGTTGCATTACTTGTCTTTACTAGTTCAGTGAGTTCAAGCCTCCGAGCTTGTTAAAAATCATCCTAAGGACTCAAGGGTGATTGTTCACAGGCTCGGCAGCTGAACTCAGTGCGAAGTTAAGACAAGACTGAACTCATTGACTTTGTGAATTGTGCTGTTTGTTTTATAGCAGCATAGTTTTATGTCTCTGTCTCGGTTAGCTATTTGTCTTGACTTATGTAGCTTTATTTTATTTTATTTTTTGCCTGAGATGATCGAGTGATCGTGAACAAGCAAGCATGATCAATGGAACATCAAGTTAAAACAACTGAAGCTCTAAGTTCATCGCAGCTTTAAAGAACTAAGTTGAGTAACTTAATCCCTGGAATATAGCTTAGGGTTTTAATTTGGTTGCGTTGCGTAGGTTATCGATAGCTTTCCGTGAATACATGTACTGATGACACATTTAAAGTTTTAATTTGGATGTGTACTTGCATAAAATTTTCAAATATTTTTTAAAAAAATAATAAAAATATTTTAATTAGAATTTTAATAAAATTTAGAAAGCCCTAATACCTAAAACGGTTTTAGACTTTAGTAAAACCGCAAGACGTGAGAGAGAGACCAAAAACAAAACACCAGAACCTAGCCTACCAGAACCGCAAAACCTAAGAGAGAGAACATGGGATCGAGAGGCGACTCAGAAGATCAGACGTTTGATCCGAACTACGTCCCACTAGATACAATCGAATTGGAAACTCAAAATCTCATAGCTAGGCTTGTTGCAGAAGAAACAAATGTTGATCGGGTCGCTGAAGATGATGTAGATTGCGTTCCTGAAAAGAAACAAGGAAGCAAAAGAAAGCTTATCAGTCTTGTCGATGAAACTGATGATGAGATCACTCCATCAACCCAAAAAACCAAGCCTCGCAGAAATACTTTTTTTGGAACAGCCTCGAGGAAACCGATGTTGCAATCCACTATAGATGGTGGCATTGGCTCGTCCTCACAAGCGTGTAGGAAGTCCGTTCCTATGAATTATGTGATTCATGGAGGGAGAAGAAAGTCCGTGCCTACTCAATCGCCAAAGAAGAAGGTCGTACTTACTAAGTCGCAAAAGAAGAAGGAGAAGGTCGTAGAGGACATACCGGACTTTGATAATGAACTCGGCGATGAAGAAGAGGATGATGATGATGAACTCGGTGACGAGGAAAGGGAAGAGAGGCAAAGATCAGATGTGTAGACCGATTTTAAGGTGGTACATAAAGTCAATGGAAAGTTGAAAGCTGCATGCAATCATTGCAGGAATAAGTATGCATGGCATTCCCATTCGCATGGAACCAGTGGGCTGAGAAGGCATTGTAATAGATGTAAAATGTATCCAAGGAATCGAGGAGGTTAACAACAACTCAACCACGAGGGCAAAGTTGTTCCTCGAAAGTATGATCATGTTGTGTTTAGGCAGATGGTAGCTAAGACAATAGTACAACATGATCTACCTTACTCGTACGTGGAAAATGAAAAAGTGAGAGACACATGGAAGTATTTGAATGCTGATGTCCAGACCATTTCTCGAAACAAAGCGAGAGCAGATGTGTATTGATTATATGAAAGTAAGAGAGACACACTGAAGAGAGAATTAGGGAGTCTTCCTGGACGAGTGTCTTTCACAACTGACTTGTGGACATCAGTGAAACGGGAAGGGTACATGTGTGTGACAGCACATTACATTGATCGGAATTGGAAGTTGAACAGCAAGATCCTGCCTTTTTGTGCTCTATCTCCACCACATGACGGTATGAAAATTGCGTCCGCTTCCTTGATATACTGAAAGAGTGGGGAGTTGATAAGAAGGTATATATTTTCTCTCACTGTAGACAATGCCACAAGTAATGACTCGATGCAATATATTGTCAAAAGCTTTGGTAAATTTAGTGGTTTTAGAAACTTTAGTTTATTCTAAAGCTTTGGAAGTCTAATCTCCACTCAAAACCTTATCTCTTATATATTATTTGCGAACGATTTTGACATGTGTCATCATTATAATTAATTTCATCAAAATGATGATATGTTCACTAATCATGATGATATGACTTGTAGTTAATTGTTACATATATATTTACATTTAATATTAATATATATTTTTGGTAAAATTTTAGAATATGGTAATAACTCATAAATTATCATTAACATAAAAATAAATAATATAATAGTAGAAATAGAAATATAATAACATTTACAAATTTTGAAATATTTTCAAGTATATTTTTTATAATTATATAATTTTTATTAATAAACTCTTTTTCAAAATTTTATGCGGATTTTGAAAATTATAATTTTCTAATCCTAATTCCTTTAGTTTTATAACATCTATAAATTTTAGAAATATTATTTAATTTTATATTCTGATAATTATATACCTAATTTTTTTTTCTTAATTATATAAAATCTGATTTAACATATTAAAACCAAAATAAAAAAGATAAAAAATCTTTCCAAGATTTTAATTTTAAATATAGACATATATATCATTAAATATAAATTTAAATAAAAGTTTTTTTATTTTATTTTAATTTTAACATATACTTAACGTAAAATTAATAATGTAAGAAAATAAGAAATTTAAAAATTTAACTAAATATAATTTTTCAAATATAATTTTATTTTTAAAGTTTTATTTCTGCACAGGTGCAGGAAAACACCTAGTTCTACGTAAAGTAGAGGAGGGATACACAAAAGAAGTACCATAACCCAAAATTGAGCTGATTTCCGAGGTTTGAAGACCATGATTTAGCCTAAATCTGGGTTGGGGTTGGGCATAATATTCGTACCCGAAGTAGTGACGCGAAACCGATCCGAAAATCAGAGTACTGAACCCGATCGGATATAGCCTACATATCTGAAAGGGTCTTTTTTCAAAACCCGAAAAACTAAAACAGAACCCGACCCGTACTGAGAACCGAATGAATTTATATGAAAAGATAAAGATCCTATTAGCTATCCGAATATATCCAAACATATAAATTTATATGAAAAATAATATTTATAATTATCCTTTACTAATAGTAATATCTAAAATTAAAATTTTATATCAAATATGTTATTTTGGATATTTATAGATATAAATAGATGTTTTGGATACATAATACCCAAATAATATTGTATCTATGGTTACTTTCTACAAACAAATAACCAATTTGAACCATATATACTGAGGTTTTTTTGGATTTTAGTTATTTTTAGATAAATTTGAGTAGTTTAAATATAAAATACCCAAAAAGAATCCAATACTTTGGTTACTTCGATTAAAACTCGAACCCACTCGGAATCTAGAGGACCCAACTCAAACCCGATCCAATTTTTTGTAGAACCTGAATGGGACCATTTTTCAAAACCCGAAGAAACCGATACCTGAATGTGTTGTATTCATACCCGAAAGGGTAACCAAATGCCCAGACCTAGTCTGGGCGTTCGAATATTCCTTCGGATATGAGTACGACCCATTACGGTATTAATTTCTTCGGGTTTTGAAAATGGTCCTATTCGGATATTTTATATCTAAACTACTCAAACTTATCTAAAAAGAACTAAAATTCCAAAAATACTCAATATATATGGTTCAAATTAGTTATTTATTTATAGAAAGTAACCATAGATATAATGTTATTTGGATATTTTGTATCTAAAACATTAGCTTCTATCTATAAATATCCAAAATAGTTAATATATTTGATATATAATTTTACTTTTAGGTATTACTATTAGTAAAAGTATAATTATAAATATTATTTTCATATATATTTATATATTCGGATACTCATTCGGTTTTCGGTATGGGTCGGGTTTGGTTTCGGTTTTTCGGGTTTTGAAAAAAGTATCCTTTCGGGTTGTTGAAATGCATGCCTTTGAACCGAAACATCAATAGCAAGAGTGGTATGATAGCCCTTGATGTCTTACGAGCTAATGGCTCCCACATGAACAAAGTTAAGAACAAACAAAAAACATACAAAATTCGAGGGATAAGACTAGGGATTATCTCAAAGTCGAGACAATGTATATCTTTCTGAAAACATGGGGCGCTTTCTTGGTACATTGCTCTACGGGAATGGCACGTTACAGGATATGAGTCATAGGGAACACGCAACTCTCTTCTAGTAACTAAAGCTTTGATAATCACAGCTACTTATCAGATCGCAGTACAACCCAAAGATAATGACAGAAATCCAAATCCGGAATCCTCTCATTTGAAGTGTTTTTTTTTTTTGTAAAATGTTGGTTGATATAAACATATTCCATAGCTTTGAACATGCAAATAGTTTTAGAAAATGTAATCTTTAGAATAAAGCACAAGTTTAAGGACGATTCTAAACTTTACTTAAGAAAGCAACTTAATACACTCATCAGACAAATATATCAAAAGTGGAGATGTTAAGAAGCGGAGGCAACTGCAACTTGAGTATTTTCTTTATCCTTTGCCTCCTTAAGTTGCTTCCACTTCTCAACAGTGTCGATAAGTTCCCCAGTTTTGATAAGATACCTAACCTTCTGTCCATCTTCAAGAACCTTGTGACCCACCCTGCTCACCACCTCCTTTTCTTTCGAATAAAGCATCACATTTGAGCTGTGGATAGGTGCTTCAATCTGTAACACATAACCAACAATTTTAAACGAAAGTTAAAGGGAGCTACAAAAAAAGTGGTTTCTGTTTTGCAAATGAACGAAAGAGACTGACCTTGACAATTTGGCCAGGCTCACCCTCTTCACGGCTCTTCATGTGTTTGGTCTTGAGGTTGACATCTTTGATGACAATGGTGCTGTTGTGAGTGAAGATCTTAGTGACTTCTCCGATCTTACCCTTGTCTCGTCCAGAGATAACTTTGACAGTATCTCCAAACTTGACATGCATCTTGTGAAGAATGGGAAGACTGTTTGGTTTGCATTTCTTCCTTTCCCAACGCTTAAGCTGAAAATTAAAAAAAAAATTGTAAAAAAACATAACAACACGGACAACTAAACGAACAAGCAATCCTTGTGATACATTAAACAATTTCGTTGTGGTTGTATTCACAAAGGTTGAGACATGGGCTCTTGTAGTTACTAACCTTTGCAAAGACAATAAGACATGGGTTCTTCTCAAAGAGCTTGACCTGCAATGAGTACAACAGAGTATGTAAGGAGCTTAGCTACCAAAATGCACTCAACATGAACAACGCATTCTTATGTTATAAGAGCACTAAACGGTGTCGTTCCACAGTCTAAATCAGAGCAAAACCATTAAATCAACCAAATGTGCAAACCAAAAGCCATGTCAGAAGAGCATAAAACGGTGTCGTTCCAGAGTCTAGAACCTCTAGAAGAGCTAATGGCGAGAGATTAAAGACTAGAATTTCGAGAATAGGAGTTACCGGAGACGCGGCGGAGAGGGAAATCGGGGAATGGAGACGCTGGCCGAGGAAGGAGGAGTCGGAGGATATTGAAAGAGAAGTAAAGGAGCTCTGGAGAGCAGAAATGGTCGCCATTGTTCACGCTCTGCAACTGCAGTTACGAAGTGACCCTAACGCTTTCTTCTTCTTCTTCGTTCGTCCTATCCGTTTGAGAAGGGGATGCGATAAAATGTGGATAACGATTGTCGTAAGACATTGGAACGTCAGCGTTTTGAATCACGACCGTGATTTACTTCACTTATGGGTTTTAATGGGCTTGGGCTGGCATGGGCTAAACATGGTTTGAATTAACATTCAACTATTATTTTTTTATTTATCTATTAGATTAAAACTTGATTCGAAACATTGTTACACAAAGTCGACAAAGATATGAAACCTTTCCGAAACCATTAGCCAGCGTGGTACAAGTTAGTACCCGGAGACAAGAGAAGGACCTAAATCAAACTCACAGGAGAGAAAGAATATCTAAAAAGATACAAGAGTACAAACATAAACTTCAAGAAAGACGCAGCTAATCGATAGCAGAAGCAGAATTGATCAAGAAAGCGAAACAAGCCTAACTTATTAGAGTTGCGTGAATATATCTCAACCCCGTTCCCATAGGAACCAAGAGCACATTACTTACCACTGCTTCACATGAAAGAAGCCACGAGAGAACCACTCATCAACCCGAGCAGCCAACAATGAGACATACGTTTGGCGATTGACCACTCCAAAACCGTCGTAGTTGAGCACAAGCTCCATAGTCCCTTACCAAGTAAACCGGAAACCCCATAGGAAGCAAACTAAGGGACTACACAACTTCACAGCATCGATGCTTCACCAAATGAAATCCTAAATGAAACACTTACGCTAAATGACCAGACCATACCAGAACACACAATACAGCAGCAACCCAAAGACCACAGCGGAGAAACTCCAACCGGTCCCAAAAAAGTTGACCTTCTGAACAAGTCGTCATACCAAACAGACTCCATCATACCAAAGACATTCAACTCTCCAACACATAGATACAACCTAAGAACCGAGGATATGAGGAACTACTAGAGACCGAAAGTGGAACAGAGATGGAGAGACAAGCCTGATAGACCACGTACCATTGAGTCGCATGATAGCCGCCACAGCAGAATCGATGGAAGAATTACACACCCATATCAGAGCCAGTATAACCTGCACCACACATCACAAAACAAATTCGATTCCAGAGAAGCAAATCAAGCACGCCAGGGAGTGGTTACAAAACTTGATCTCTAATCAAAGATCCACCGGTTTAACAAAGACAAAAACACAGCAACACAAAAGAACAAGGTCCACCCACCCTACTCAACATCTTAGGTAAAAGTAGAACATGAGAAGTTCGATACAAGACAAGATCCCCAAACTTCACCGGCGCTTGGAATAATAGATTTATATGAACATTCATGCCTGAGCGTTTTTATGATATGCTATATGAACATCAATAGCAATATACGGGTAACCGGAGAGGTTCGATACAGGACAAGATCCCCAAACTTCACCGGTGCATGAATCTATTCCAATTAGCCGTTTATTGCTATTGATGTTCAATCCGAAGAGAAAGAAGAGATCTTAAAAAAGTGGGGTTTGGTAGATAATCAACATAAATGTTTCAGCTATACATTACTAAATTGTATTTTCTGAAATTCAAACACCAGATTTTCAGTGTAAAACATTAATAAAAGCTTAATGAGACCAATTGGCTAATAAGCTTCCATCAATACCATTAAAAAGGGATCATTCCCTTTAATGAGTTTTTTTTACATTTTCCAAAACTATCCTTAATGATATGAACAAATTTTTATTTTCATTAACTGCAATATAGTCTTTTGGTTTTTGGGCCTATAAACAATATAATAAGGAGTTTCATTAATGAACTAAATTCACCTTCTAATTATATATGAAGTTTCTTTAAAAAATAAACACATCAACCTTAATTGGTGTAGCTAGAGCTGAGAATTTTGATATTAGCCCGCGGATTGATCCGGCACGGAACAGGTCGATCAATTTGAAAAATTTAAGTTGCAGATGTGGATCAAGTGTATTTTACACGGAATTGGTGCATGTTGTTTTAATTTTAATTGCGGGTATCCGGTAATCTGCAAAAGTAGAATTTTTAAAAAATTTATTTTTTAAAAATATACTAAATTTCCTTAAAAGTACGGACAAAAAATTAGTAGAAGTATTAAAAGACTTTTACATTCACAAGAGAAAGACATGGATAACCCTGATAAACCAAATTTAGTAAACATCAACATCAGTGTATTCCTCCTAACAAAATCTACAAATCATTCTAAAACTAAATAAAATCCAATTAAAAATATGCTTACTTTTTGTCCAAGAAAAAAAATATGCTTTACTTATAAACTCCAGCACTTTTTTATGTTTCAACAATTACATCACTAATCTTCAACTATACTCTCCATGGAATTATCTCTCCTATGATGCTCCGACCGAACAGATCTATTTCCGGTTTGCTCACCACTGGACTCAACCGCAGGAAGACGTGGAGAAGGCGAGGTAGACATCTTCTGACGCTTTCTGGAATGTCTCACCTTGACAACACGTGCCAAAACCTGAACAACATCCCTCATGTTGGGACGTTTCCTCGGTGCACGAGAGATACATTTATACGCAAAAGCAGCAACTTCATTCACTTCTAGCAAATCAAATCTCCCATCTAATCTCGAATCCACAATCTCCTCCCATCCAACTTTCTCCTCTGCATTCATCGCCGCCTGTTTTTCATCAAAACAAAAAGTTGTCTCTAAACGTAACTCTTCAAGGAAACAAATGTGAAACGAAGGATCATGTTTGGTCTTGTTAGTTCTTGTTTTACCAGCTCTACATATTCCATTAGACCTTGTTGGGGATTTCTTGCAGCTATAAGCTCGAAAAGTAGGACCCCAAAACCATAAACATCGCTTTTCTTGGTGAACGTTCTTGTTGAGATATACTCTGGATCGAGATAACCAAACGTTCCTCTGACGTTAGCAGCATGTTTGTTTACCATTTCTTCTCTAGACAGGCCAAAGTCAGCAACCTGAAGTTTAAAAGAACAGAGATTCAACAATGAGAAAGGTGACGAAATCTCAAGTGGGACAAAAGAAATAGTTACTCGAGCTCGCATGGATTGATCTAACAAAATGTTGGAAGATTTGATATCTCTGTGGATTACAGGAGGAACAGCCTGGGAAATAGAAAGTTGAATATAACATTTAAGTTGCGTTTCTTAAGAGATGCGATAGAATGGTTAATGGCTTCAGGCATAAAGATTTAGCGTACCCCATCATGAAGATACTCCAGACCACGTGCCACGTCTAAAGCAATATATACTCTCAAATCCCAACTCAGCGGTTCATGTTTTTCGCCTGTATCAAGAGAGAATTTTAGTGTGACTCACACTTGTATGAGAGCTTCTCAGGTTGATAATAGAGGTGAGTGACTATGCTAAAAGGATTTGATATTGCATTGGAATTCATTTACTGACAAGATGTTTAATATATTATGCAGAGTAAAATAGTTGCTTACTGTACAAGTGAGAGGCTAAGCTTCCTTTACTCATGTAGACATATATAAGCATGTGTTGGCCTTTCTCTGCACAATAGCCGACCAAGTTTACCAAGTTACGGTGATGCAACCTTCCCAATAACATAACCTGAAAAAAAGAAAAGACAAGTGAGCGAGTTTAACAATAAATGAAGAAAACATGAACTATCGTTGCAGACAGTAACATGGCTTATAGATAACAACTTCAAGACTGAGCCATAGAAGTTTTGCAGAAACTATGAACATACTCAAGTATTCCTAATGTTACTTTTTACTATTTCTTTAGATGAGAATGTCATAAGATAGATGTTTTTACCTCCGTCTGAAATTCTTTTTCGCCCTGTTTAGAATCAGTGGCGAGAACTTTGACAGCAACAGTCTCACCGGTGGACATTTGAGCTTTGTAGACAGGACCAAAAGCTCCTTGGCCTATCAAAGTCGTGAAATTAGACGTTGCTTTCTGCAAATCCCTGAGTCAACCACCAACGATCAATATATTAAGACCAATGTATGCAAAATCTTTGATCATATCAGTCAAGATTCAACCTAAGAACTAATTAAACACTCTTACAATAGAAGTCTTTGTCTCATTAGTTAAGAGACAATAAACAAAAAGACCCTGCAAGGATACTTTGAACAAGAATCTGAGACAAACCTGTAAGGATATTCCAAAATGCCAGAAGCAGAGATCACATTGCTCTTCTTACTAAACCCATCAAGCCAAAGATTCCTCCCATTGGTGGAGGACTTGACAGGTGAGTCAGGACCAAGAGTGGAATCAGACATAACGGTACAAGCATCAGCACCATTCTCTCTGATGGGAAGCGTTGCGGTTCTTCTGGAAGCACTGTTGGCAATCTGAGATCTCTTTCTGTGGTACATAAAGCAGCACAGTGCTGAAAGAGCTAAGACCACACCAATCACTAAACCAAGTGAGATCCCAACTATCAAACCAAACGACTCTCCTTTCATGTTTTATTTTTTCCGAGTATTGTTATCAAAGGCCACTTATAATGTGACTCAAGCTTTTGTACACGCCTCTGCAAAAGAAATAATAATAATTGATCAGATATTAGGAAAACTACTTAACGTTGACCATCGCCTGTTGAACATAAAAATAAATCATTCGTATCAGCAAATTGAGTAAGAGATATGTTTTTGTACCAAAAGGGGATATATATTTAATGCGGTTTTGGAGAAATCAGTGCTCAGATTTGACTGAAACCTCTTTTTTGCGAAATTAAAAGTTTCTCTGGGAAATGGCTATACATACTAATTGAGAATTTTCTCGGGAACATTTTGGAGAAACCAGAAAACAAAGAGGAGGGAGATGAAGGTGGATTTGAGAAACGAATCTCGAGAGTCGAGCAACTTTTTTTTAAAAACGCCGTTTCGAAAACTTTTGTTTATTCCTTCTTTATTTTCTATTCATCTTCTTCCTCGGCAGCACAAACACCAGAGAAGACTTTCTCAGCAACAAAAAATCTTGCAACTACCACACAACGTAGGATCCTTTAGAAAAATATAAAGGAAAAGCAGAGTTTACTTTAAAACTGATGCATTATCGGCAGAAGAGACAGTTACATTGTCTATTCGATTTAAGATGCTTGGAAGAGAGAAGAAAGTTTTAGGAGAAAGTGAATGAGAGAGAGCGCTTTGCTTTGATTGCAGAGAAACGAATCCTAGAGAGAGAGACAGTGTGTGAGAAAATGACAGAGGGGTTCCACTTCAATTCAAGCAAACGATGGATTACAAAATGCAACCAAAAATATACTTTAAATCAACCATTACATTTTTTTAAGAAAATTGAAAAAAGTTTACACTTTAGCAACGTCTGCTTTAAACGAACGAAACGGAAAAGCTTCTTTTTATTTATTTGTTTTATTGGGAGTGACGTTACTCCTATGTCATACCCCTCCCTTTCAATTTACTATGTCATTATAGAAATATTAAATATTTTTTCTACAGAATATATGCAAAAATTAATTATGTTTTTGTTTAAAATAAGTAAAATTAAATATTTTTTTTGTTTATCTGTAAAAAGTAAAAATGACAACTAAAATGAAACGGAAGAAATATATTCATGTACATATGGAGAATAAATTTTGTATAGATTTGAGTTTTCGATATTCTCCTAGAAAATAAATAACTTAAATTCTTGTTGTTTGTTCTGAATTATATTTTTAAGTATTTTGTATAAAATACACAATGTCACTTCTATACTAACAACATTATTATGGTAAAAATCTAATAATAATAGTGTTAATAATCATAAACTAATTTGGATTATTTACAATATTGTGAAATACATGTAAAATGGTATTGTAGTTTCATATAGAACAATTCTCTCAAATAGATTTTTTTAAGTTTTTATCACAAAAATAAATTTCAAAAACTAAAATGATCAAAATAGTATTTTTTGAATATTTCAAGTTTTTTTTTGTTTTTTAACATTTGAAATACTATCGCCTTCATTCATCAACTCTAAACAAAAAAATTAGGATTAGTTAATCCAAAAAGTATAAATATATATTTACTTATTTGATAAAATATATAAGTTTATTTTTATCATTTTTATTTTTAAAGTCTATATTTATGACAAAAAAACTTTTTTAGTTCTATCGGAATTTTTATTTTCAAATAGATTTTTTAAGTTTTTATTACAAAAATAAATTTCAAAAACTAAAATGATCAAAATAGTATTTTTTGAATATTTTAAGTTTTTTTTTTGTTTTTTAACATTTGAAATACTATCGCCTTCATTCATCAACTCTAAACAAAAAAACTAGGATTAGTTAATCCAAAAAGTATAAATATATGTTTACTTATTTGATAAAATATATAAATTTATTTTGATCATTTTATTTTTAAAATCTAAATTTATAACAAAAAAAAAAACTTTTTTAGTTCTATCAGAATTTTTCTTTCAGATATGGGATCAGATATTTGAAATATTTTATGCAAAGATAGAAGTGTATATAAAAAATTAAATATGGATAGGGAAATGAAAATTTTTTTTTATGTCGTGTGCATTATGGGTCCCACGCGTATCATAATTGGATGAACTAAGAGTATCCGCATTTGCGGTTTATATGGGGTTCATGGGCTCGAGTTCTTAGGCCCGAGCCATTTAAAAAAATAAAGAAAATGGGTTAATTTCTGTGAATCGGGCTGTCGTGATGAACCCGCGAGAGGGGAGTTCAAGCCACGCGTCGTCTCCTCAGTTGCTACTCGATTCGGCCAAAAATAAGGGTTTTCGAGTTTCTCGTCTCATTTCTCTCTCTTTTTCCGAAAAATTTGTTTTTCTTTCTCTGCGGCGATTGCTCGTGTGACGCCGAATCGCTTCTTCTTCTCGATCTAACAGACGACGGAGTGTCTTCTCGACGACCAGAGGTTAGTATCGAGTAGAGTGACGGTCTAGTAGAGTTGATTTCGATTCTCTTTTGCGATTCGAAATCGATTTGGGGATTTCGAATTAGGGTTTACAATCGATTTGGGGGTTTCATTTGGGGGTTGTATATGGTCTAGATGATTTGATTTAGGGTTTCATTTGGGGGTTTCATTTGAGGGTCGTATATCGGGTAGTTGGTTTGATTTAGGGTTTCATTTGGGGGTTTCATTTGAGGGTTGTATATCGTTTTCCTTGTTTGATTTACGGTTTGTTTATAGTTGATCTGAAATCGAGTTTGCATGTTTGTAGTTATGGATCCTGCTGAAGAGAGAAGACATTCTAAGAAGCAAAAAGAAGATTACAACATGTTAGGCTTCGTGGCTGATTCGCAATTCGGGATTCCTCGAACCTGTCCATGTGGAGGGAGAATTATCAACGAGGTTCAGGGGAAGGAGCCGTATGATACTTTACCGGGAAAGCGTTTCTTCACATGTGTGAAGTACGAGGTATAACTTTGAAGTCTAAAACTAGTTTTATTTACTATTGTATTGTTTCTGATGTATTTTGTATGTTGTAACCAAGGATGACGGATTCCATTATCGTCATCCTTGGGTCATTGGTGTCCAGGAGGAGACTGCGAAGTTGATCGAAGGAGTCAGTAATCTAACAAAACAGATTCAGAAACTGGAGGTTTGTGTACTCTCATTTGTTTTCTTTTTGTAAAAGTTATAGTTATGTTTACTAACACTGTTTTGTTTATGTTTCCATGTCCAGGAACATGTCAAGACCCTATCTGGACAGGTGGATTGTCTGACGGTGCAGGTAGCTTCCCTGGAGAAGGTCAGCTTCGAATGAAAATGAAAGGTACTCCTCAACTAAATTTTTTCCTCATAAAAGAAAATGTTAGCGTAACTTGAAGTGTAGTAGTTGGTTGAAAATTGTTTGAATATTTTCGAAAACTGCATCGATTTTTAGTTAAGTTGTAAAGTACTTTTTTGCAAAGTAAATTGCATTAATTTTAGTGGTTGGTGGTCGTGTAATTTTTTGAAAACTAAATTGTTCAATCGTAGGTTGTGTAAATTTTCGAAAACTAGATTGTTCAAGTCTGCTTTTAATGGTTGGTGGTTGTGTAATGACTGTTAAATCCAAACTAAACCAACAACAACATTGAATGTTCAATCGTAGGTAGAGTTAAACCAAACTAAACCAACAAAAGTTAAGCAAACTGATTTGATGTGTAATGACTGCTCTTTGTACTAAGTGGTTGTGTATTAGCTTGTAATGAATGTTTGGTAGGTAGAGATAATTGTAACCACTCATCCGTAGAAATTTTAAACTAGTATATAAACATAACCACTCGTCTTCTTAAAACTCACCAACCTAAAAACACTAACTTAAAACACAAACGAAAACCTAAACCTAAACCAAAATGGAACCTTTCTCCCTAAACACTCCTGGGTTTGTGAACCTACTAGCTTCGCAGAGCTTTGCTTCAATTGACGTAGACTCTGCTGAAGCAGTTTTGAACTCTCCCGGGTTAGGAAAACCTTTAAATAGGCGCAAGTGCTCACCTAAAGAAGACCTTGTCCTCATCAGTGCCTGGTTGAATACCAGCAAGGACCCCATAGTCGGTAATGAGCAGAAGGCAGGCTCCTTTTGGAAGAGAATAGAGGAGTACTTCAACTCAAGCCCTCAGCTAAGTGACAATGTTCCAAGGGAGTCGAGTACATGTAAGCAGAGGTGTGGAAGGGTGAATGAGCATGTCTCCAAGTTTGTGGGGTGTCATGAAGCCGCTTTGAAGGACCAAGGGAGTGGCGAAAATGAGGAAAATCTCATGAGCCGTGCACATGAAATTTTCGAAAACGACAATAAGTTAAGGTTTGGTCTAGAACATTGTTGGAGGGTTCTAAGGTTCGAGCAGAAATGGAAGTCACACGCCTTTAACAGAGATGGTCCGAAGGAGAAAGGGAAAGAAGCTGCAGAGGTGGTGGTTGAGGACGTAGAGGAAAGGCCTCCTGGTGTGAAGGCTAGCAAAGCGGCCAAACGCAAGAAACACGGCAAAGAAGCAGCATTTGATCAAACTGAGTCTATTCTAGCAGAAAAAAAAACATTTCCAAACAAAAAATCTTGGAACGTCTCCTAGCCAAGAAAGAAGGGACACTTTCTGATATAGAAGTGTCTCTCAAGAACAAGTTAATGGCTGAAATTCTTTGATTTGGTAGGATAATTTATTTTGCTTTTACTTGACTGATATGTTTAATTTCTTGTTTGCTTTTACTCGACTGATATGTTTAGTTTCTTGGTAGGTTAACTTATTGTTTAAAAGTGCCTTGATTGTTTTACTTACTGATATGTTTTGTTATGGTTGCAGGTCAATGGATGTTCAAGTCTCTGTTGATTCACGGGATCCAGCTCAAGTCTCTGTTTCTTTTTAGGTCTGCTGTTTCAAGTATCTGTTTCTCTTTAGGTCTGCTGTTTCAGTTCTCTTTGTACTATGTATTCACGGGTGTTTGTACCCGTGATAGTTGTCCAATGAAGTATGTGTTTCAAGTCTCTGCTTTGTACTATGTAACATAAACTCACGGGTGTATGTACCCGTGAGAGTGGTGTCTGAATCATTGCCAACTCTAGGTTCTATATATATGTCTCTCTTTGTTTTAAGTTTCACATTCATTCATCTTATTCTCTTCCTTTCTCAAGCACCAAGTATCTCTCTTTGTTTAAGTAAATTGCAACAAGTGAACACAATCTTCCCGAGGGTTTTCGGCAGGTGAACAACTCATTCCTCCTATCGTCTCCCTTTCTAGTACAAAACAACAACTCATTGATTCCAACTTCTTCTCTTTGATTTATAACATATACTTAAAAATTTCTGGTTACTAAAATTTTAGTATATTGTTTAGTTTAGTCATTATAAACAACAACTCATTGATTCCAACTTAACTCAAAATTTAAAGTTATAAAAATCGACAATATGGTTGATCAACTAAATATAACTTTACTCAAAATTTAAAGTTATAAAAATTTAAAGTTATAAAAAATTAAAGTAAATCTTAAGTTATTGTTTAATATAATTTTAAAGTTATTGTTTAATATAATTTTACTCAAAATTTAAAGTTATAAAAAATTAAAGTTATAGTTTAGAGTTATTGTTTAATATAATTTTACTCAAAATTTAAAGTTATAAAAAATTAAAGTTATAGTTTAAAGTTATTGTTTAATATAATTGTACTCAAAATTTAATTTGTGCTAACTAAAATTCGTGATTATTGTAGGGAGGAAGAAGAGTTCAACTATGTCTTCCTCATCAAGTGATGAAGTAGATGAA